ATTGTCCTCTATTGTTCAGGGTCCCCAATTGAATGCAGAAACCAACTCAAGCTTCCCTGTGTGTTGATGCGTTAGCCTGAGAACCCCCTGAATTGCATGTCATTTATTGTCACTCTGCCTTCTACATGCAGATCCAGAGTATTATGCAGCTGGCTGGTGCGGCGGTTGACCTCATGGACCTTCAGGGATCGTCTGTTATGTTCAGCTTTGAAGAAGGCTGGGACTTCACAACTCAGGTGCGTAGTGTGACCCTTTGTAGGGCCTGGGCAGTTGTGCAGGCGCCATGGCTCAGACATGCACAGACCACCTTGTCAAAGTAATATAGTGTAAGCAGTTGCTAAAAATGTTTTTAAAGTATAAATGAGAGGGGAAGATGGGAAAACCCCTGATTACATCGTAAGGGTGTACATGCATGTGTGGTCCTACATACATGCTACAGATTGGAGCTGACATCATCTGCTTGTAGGGTTAAATGTATGTCTGAATGACTTGGCTAGGGCTTGAAATTACACACAACTCTATGAGATGTGTCTACAGCCATAACCATAGACTCGGGCATATTTTTGAGTCACAGCCAAGTCATTTGGATGTGGTCTTGTACAAACATCTCACTTTCACATAGGTTGCCATTACACCTTTGGCAGGGTTCTGGTGAATGAAGTTAACAACGTGCATATATTATTATTATATATTGTCTGATTGTTTTCTATGTCAGGTGGTGTCGTTGGCCCAGATCTTGATGGATCCATACTACCGGACCCTGGAAGGCTTTCAGGTTCTGATCGAGAAGGAGTGGCTGGCATTTGGCCACCGCTTCACCCATCGGAGTAATCAGACCATGGCCTACCAGGCCAGTGGGTTTGCGCCGGTATTCCTGCAGTTTCTGGATTGCGTACACCAGGTAGGTGGCAAATCGTCAACCGACTAAATTGTGAACATGAGTCCATTGATCTCACCTCTTGTTTAAAAACTGAAAGAACTTTTTAAACGAAGTGAGTTTCAAATGGGGCCAAGAATAAGACAGGTAACTGAATACTTTGATCTCTGATCATGCCAAGCCCATAAAGGAGGAACACAATGCATGTGTGGTGGTCTACCCTGTTCCATTTCTGGGCATGATTACATACATCCACTGTTTTGTTTTTCACTAGTGACTTATACCCCGTGAGATCAGGCATTGTAAATGTAAAAACTAAAACGTGAAGGAGGGTAATATTTTTTCTCTACTGTTATGCATCTTCATGAGCTGCCTTTTTGCTGACCTGCAACATCTTGAAATGCTTTTAGAATTTTAGAATCGAAATGATTGAATTTTTTTCCTTTTTATTTTATATTATATTTTGTCTGGTTCCCTGCTGAATATCTGATTCTAGAAATAAATGTTGGAACATTTGACAAATCTGGAATATCGGGCACAACCCCGACCTAGAATCTCTACCCTTTCAGACCGCAGCACGGCATGTGTGATTGCGCGTACACGTACATTTTTTTCAGATAATGGAATTATTTTTTGTTCCTCACTTGCAGGTGCACACGCAGTTCCCCATGTCCTTTGAGTTCAACCAGTATTTCCTGAAGATGATTGCCTTTCACCACGTCTCCAATCGTTTCCAGACGTTCATGCTGGACTCAGAGTACGCGAGGTTTGAAGCAGGTAAGAATCTCTCGGAGGGCATTAAACCACTTCAAGATGTGTATAATACGCAAGGATTTCCTATGCCCTAAACACGGAAGACAGTCAAACACGTGGTGAAGCCGAGTGAATCTGTGTGTCAACTTCCCATATCAAGGGGAGCTAATATTGAGTACCCACCTGAAATAAGGTACTATATCTGTTTTATCATACCTCATGCATATTCGTTTGCCTTTACAAAATCAGGGATCACCTAAAATGTTAATCAACATGCACATGTTTTCATGTGTAGTTAGGGCAATGTTTCCACATGCATACCATTCTATAGTAGCATTATAAAGCATTGTGTAGTAAACTGTGGCTGGCTAAGAGTTCTTTCTGCGCTTGCCTGTTTGACTTGTGGGCGGCAATAAAACCGGCAGACGCATAATGTTGACTGCACCAGTGAGAATTTGGTTGTTGATCATAAAAAAATCCTGCACTGTGCCGCTGTGAAATGACTTTACCTGAAATAGTTTCTTCCATTGGTATTTAAACCCATTATCAATCCTTTCAATGCCCCTTATAATCTTCATTTTCTTTTACGAAGCGTCAACCCAGTTTGGCCACTGAATGTTCATAGCTACACCTAAATGGTGAAAGCTCATGTCCTCTGACCTCCCCATTGTTAATGGTGTGAGGGTAGGATGAGTAGAAACCTGACAAATCCTAACATCCTGAGGTAGCTCTCTGTGACACATGTCTTAAGGATCAATGTCAAGGAAAAAGGTTCACTGCAATCACCTGTTTCCTAATAACAGCAACCCAAGTCTTTGAGGACCGGAAGCCTACATCCGAGGAGTCCGGTGATCTCAGCAAGTCGAGGATGCCCATGAGATCCTTCTGGGAATACATCCTTAAGATCAACTGCAAGCAGCCGCTGTTCTACAACCTCATGTTTGCTCCCCACACCCCGGTAAGCCCACCATGCTTTTTATTTTAGCCAGTCAGTGGTATACATGAGTATATTCTGCTTGGCGTGTTCTGAGTCCATCAGCTTGCAATTCTCTCTTAATTTTTTATGACCCAGCAATGCAGTATTGTAGAAGGTCTGGTAGTACAGGGATGGAGGTTTTACTAAGGGAATAAATATGCGCTTGGCCTGTCTTAAACATGCATTTAAGACTGGCTCAGGAGAATGGATGCTGCGGCTCGGGCATTATCAATGTTCAGTCTCCTGAACGCACACCTTTGGCCTTGATAAACTGGCTCTTGCCCTTAGGGGAGAACCTCTTCCTTTGGAAAACTGATTGGATCAGCTATGTTGAATGCACTTAAACCTTTCAAAGGCTTTGACATCTGCCGCCAAAATTTTCAAGTACAGCACACTTTCTGTCTTCAGTGAAAGCATAGCTGTTTTCTTTATGCAGGTCCTGAGGCCTTACACCAACATCTCCAGCCTGCGCATCTGGGATTTTTTCACCAAGGAGGATCTGGCGGGTGGTCCCTCCTTTGACCGGGAGCTTTTTGACCAGGCTACGGCCGAGGACAAGGACATGCCCCTGGTACCATCGGACCGACGTGTCATCAATAACTGCTACGACAACGTGGCCCAGGCTGAGCTCGACATGCACATGTGGTACCTGGAGGTAGGTCACTGAGCAAGGTCCGAGGCCATAAATAGACCGTACATATACACGCATGATGGTTTTTCTAGTTGAAACAACTTTCAGGTATTTGTCTCGTTTCATTTCCTATCATTTCCTTCATTTGGAACATTCTGCACTGTAGTCATTATACTTTTAGGGGTCTTCAGGGAAGTATCCTATTTTCCCTCAGAAGTTTTTTTCATAATGGTTTCTATCATTGTTACGGAAATGAATCTTGACCTACAAATTGAGGAATCCTTATGACACCTTCACGATCGTGGATTTCTGGCATTAATGCCTGAGGCTGACAGGATTTAGCTACATGTAATACAATTTAGTACATGTAATACAATTCATGTACCTTGCAATTAATGCAGGTACCTTGTAGTTCACCTGTCCACCACTGCCCTCACTGGATGCTGGGAAGAGCAAATGCATGAAGTAATATCTGCTGAGCATTCATTGGATGCAATTCATTTGAACCAAAACATGGGTCAACACTTCCATGCATGTGTAGGACATGCAAACGCACAGGACTGGGATAGCAAGTATCAACCAGCAATTCTTTGAGCATCCGTAGCTGTTACTTACTGATAATTCCTTTTCAGGAATTTGTGAAAGGCATTTGCTCTTGAGCGAACTGCACGCAAATGCTGATGATTTCTTGTCGGTTTGCAGGAGATGATGCAGTTGGAGGGGGACCTGGGGCGTACCCCGCAGCACTGGAAGACGAGGCTGGACCGGGCCCAGAAGGGCTTCCCCAGCCGAGCCCGGCGGAAGTCGCTGTCCATGAAGGAAGCCCAGCAGCAGAGCATGTCAGCTCACAAGAAGACCACCATTGACATCTTGGTCAAGGTGAGCCTAGGTTGTGTTTCAGTTTCTGTCTGTGGCTTTTTGTTGACTTAGTTTGTTGACCAGTTTCTTGGAAACTATAAGCCAACTAAAAAATCAGTTTGTTTTGCGAGATGACCCTTAAACCATGTACTGTTGTCAAGTTCACTGGTTGTTACTAGAACCCCACTGGTGCTTGCTTCCTCCAGTGTTATACTGAATCAAAAGATGGAAGCAGATTCACTATAAGTGTACTTTGAATTTTTTAAGCCTACAGAGGGGTTTTGTGTCAGAGCAGAGCCTGAGATGGAAACCTACCTGATTACTTGTCGCTGGCAAGGATCTTTATTCTAAAATCCAGCTCATCTTTTGTTAATGTAATGGGAGACTTTTGAAATGCTCAGTTGCACACTGGTCCCGTGTGACCGATCCACTGTTGTTAGCATCATTTTGAGCATACATAAGATCACGCAACACATTTGGGGACCAGTCAACTGGGACCCATATGTTTGCCAGCACCAAGCGTCATAAAATCTCCACTGCATTATGTTTCATATCAAAGGATTCATAGTTGATGGAAGGAATTATAGTTCCCTTGATGGAGACGTTTGTTTCCCCCTCCCCCACTAATGACAGGGCAAGAACATCACCGAGCCCCAGCCCAGAGGATTTGCCTTCCAACACCGCTTTGAGGCCCACTCCTACATGACACCCACGGACTGTGACCTGTGCTCCAACCTGCTCTTTGGGGCTGTCAAACAAGGCTGCAAAGGTAATGACATGGCTCAATGCATTTTAGCCCTCAGTGTTGCGCATTTCAAGGGAACAAAATTCAGTGCGCGATATCTGTCCCTATGAACACTCTTGATCAGGGAAATTCATGTTGGCTGTTCAAACCTTCGTTTCCTTTGCAGTGCTGTGGGAATAATTGATCTTTCTTTGCACTTGGAACCATAAAGAATGCACACGGTTCCCACAGTCATGAAAAATCTTAGAAAGTCATGGAAAAGTCCTGAGAAATTGGGAACGATTAGAGTGTCGTGGAATTCTCTTGTCCTCTTAAGAAATAAGTGGAAAAACCATGAAAATCAGGATCCTGCAAGGGTTATCTTTGATGGGTCACTTTTGATGTAATAACAGAATAATGATAAATTTCTAAGCTGTCTTCGTCAGCCTGCAGTACTGCAGTGGTCATGACAGACTTCCACTTTAAAAACGATACATCTTTTCTCTGCAAAATGGTATTGAATGTCATGAGAATTGTCAGATTTTAGTCCTGGAAAGTTGTGGGAAAATCATGAAATTTAGATTTTTGAGGGAACTTGCCTGGCAGATTCCCAGTTTTGGTTGCTGTAGAATTCAGTATCTAGATCATATTCTTCAGTGTTTGTACTTGATTCAAGGAGGCATCTGTGTTGAATGTATTCTTTGCCAAATATGTCACTTGAGATATTTGTCAGCCCGTATATGCCTGGCTCCTGGTGTTCAGGTTTAGTGTCTTTGTTTTAAAAGTCACTGATAAGCAAAAGCAGCAATGAATATTGAAAAGCACAGTCGTCAGCTCAAGTCGTTAGAATCTCACAGCATGTGGAAAATCATACCTGCCAGCTGTGCAATTTAATTAGAACTGTCCCAATTTCTACATTTTCGGACTGCCCAAAAAATCTGAGCATTCTGCTGTCCATTAAAAGGAAAAAGTCCTGGCAAAACAAGGTGATACGTGTATTTGCTACATGTATGTCAACGTGGTAGCCCTTACATATATATATGTACTTACATGTACATGTTAATAGCTTCCCTTGCGCAGCTGCTGTTGTTTCACTCCAGGCTAATATTAAGAATGGGTATGCCGATTTCGGACTTTTCAGTGTTGACAGAAGTGGGAAGTCAGAGATGGAAGGCATGCATTGTGGATGTTCCCAACAAGTGAGGAACATCAACAAGATTGGCTTTGGAGAAGTTTGAACTTTATTCTGGAAATTGGCAGCTACTGGACCTTAAGATTCCCTCAGTTACCTGACATTGACAGCATGGCTTACATGTATGCCAAATGATCGTTTTCTTTACTTTATAGCAAAGCTTGAAACAGTCAAGGGTTAACTCAAGCAGAGTGGCCATTTTGGTACCAGGAAATTTGCTGCATGGGGAACACTAACTGAATGACTTTTGTTCACCTCCCTCAGGAATGAAGTGCCTGGATTGTGGCTACAATGCACACGAGGACTGCGTGCCCAAGGTCCCCAAGCAGTGCACACGCCGAGGGTCCACCAAGGAGCCCAGCTCAGGCCCCTCACGGCCCACCTCGGATGAGGTGACCAGTGCCGGTACCCCTGTTGCACCAGCAGGTGTGTCAGGTAGGAGAGTGACACTGGCAAAAAAAAAAGGGAAACACCAAAAGGTCATAGGCGAAATGGGGCATTCATTAACTTAAGTCAGCAGGGTACCGATCGCTGGTTGTGTGCATTACATGACATGTTGGCCGGTGACCACATTTTGCACAGATAATATATATTGTGTTCATCCAGGCCAGATTCCATTCCAATCACCTTTATTCTGCACCAAAGGCAATTCTGAACTAAAAGTTAGCGTATTGCTCAAGTTAGCCAGGAAATGTGGTTTCTGGGCATGTGTACACCCCTCAAGTATTGTGTGCTTCCTTGGTTAGCACAGAATGTTTGATGCAAGCACCATTAGTGCGGAATATTGATCGTAGTTGCAGACTTCTGAAGTTAGCAATGCCATGAAACTGTGTCCTGCTCTGTCGAATAGGTCAGTCACAGCTACCCTACAGGGTCTGTAGTGATAGTTCCATAGAGCTATAGAACTCAAAGACGGTTTGTTCAGCTTGAGCAGGTCTTCGGCTGAAATTTCACTCCCCATTGAAATAGTGTGCATGCAGGGCTTGTTCTCAGTGACTGAGAATTGCAAAGAGGCACCTGGCTCTTCCGTGCCTAGAGATTACAATGGCCATGTCCAAGTATCCTGGTTACAGCTAAAAGTAGCCCATACATACTGGACACTGTATGAGGTAAATGCATGAAGCCACTATTGTTGGGCTTCCATTGGTAGCTGTCTCATTTCCAACTGTTGCTAAGAAATGCAAACCTGACCAGACATACAGCTTGCCCCAAATCATGTGACACAAAAACAGGAAGTTAGGCGGTATCTGCACCCCTACCCGTTCAAGGTGGTTTTTGCACACTCTCTTATTACCTCTTTTACCTGTTCATATGTCCTTTGTAGGCTATGAGTTATTCTATGCCAAGATTGGCGAGACGAGGACCCACGAGGGATACCTCTACAAACGGGGTGCCCGACTCAAAGGTTGGAAGCAGAGGTGGTTTGTCCTGGATTCCCAGAAGCACCAGGTAGGTCTGTTGATTCTCAGAATTTACCCGGAGGCCTCGTTGCTGTCTAAGTGACGCCCCATGCAGGCTATGGGCCGTAGATATCCGGATGTTGTTGATATTGTGTTGCTGGCTTTGTTGTATTGCAGCTGCGATATTATGAGACCAGGAATGACCCCCACTACAAGGGTATCATTGACCTGAAGGAGGTGGAGTCAGTCCAGCCTGCCTTCCCCACAGCAGGTGCTCCCAAGAAGTGCGACGATAACGCTTTCTTTGACGTAAGTCCCTACTTTTCTCTGCTGTCCAGACCCGGAAAGTTTGTTATGTGTTGTCCAGTTCTCACTCACCAGTCAGCCTGAGTTTGGCACCTGAATTCAGGTTTTTGGCCAAAGTGTGGCCAGAGTGTGGCCAGAGTTTTCAGGATTTCAAGAAGCTATTAGCGACCACTGTAATGTCCCTGGGAGGACTTTGTAAAATGCCAAACCGCAGCAGTGAGCATTTACTGTCACTTTACTGAACAGTCTTGCTCCAGTTGTAAAAGAGTGTCAAGTCTTCTGTCGAAATCGTCAAGAGAGAAATGCTCAAACCACCGTTTATTTAGAGCCAACTCTTCACAGAAGAAACTGACGGTCTCACAGTGTTATCCACGAGCCTTGTTCTAGCACCTCCCCTGCCATGCAGATTTTCTGACGGAATATTAGGTCTTAGAAAAACACTGAAGAGGTGGTGTGGCAAAAATTGACAAGTGAAAAGATGTTAAATCCAACCCACCTTCACTGTAAATGGAGAACATGCTATTGTCCCGTTTTATTTTTAATGCAATACAAAACAGTCAGCTGTGAACGGAGACAAGCTTTATTGCATGCAGAGTCATAAAGCAAATCTTTTGCCGGCTAATGCCTTCATAATGTAGAGTCGAATGTCGGCAGTTTTCTTGAAAATCTGCCACTTTCTTTTTCCTCTTGTCGCAGCTGAAGACCACCAGGCGGGCGTACAACTTCGTCGCCGACACCAAGGCGGCCGCGGAAGAGTGGATCAGCAGAATACAGGACTGTGTGTCGTGATGAGCGCCCTCGACCGCTGTCGTGCCATTAGACTTTTTTGTAGTGCTCGGGTGCAGTTGCAATGTATGTTCTCCCGACTTCTCTGTTGTGCTGGAATCGTCTCAAACACCGGTGTGTTGCCACGTGGAGCGCCCTCTATTGACCAAGTTTGTTTTGTTATTATTACCTTGCTGCGTTCAAAAGTTCCTGCTGCCAGTTGGAAGTAATGCATGTACTTCAGGAGCCACTGACTATCAGATTAGCGACTTCTCTCAGGGGCATGCATTATTCCACACCGTAGCCCGCTGATTCGGACGTAGTCATGTTGAAAATTTGACTTACTTTTCTGTGTGTTTCAGTTGACATTGAATGGCAATAACTTTTAGTTACGCATTTTTTATGTGTGAATGTAAGCAATCAGTTCGTTCAGGATTTATGCTTAAATTAATCACAATTTTTTCCCCAAATGTTGGTGGAATTTGTGCCAGGTCTCGATTGTTGCAAAAATCATCAATTTGTCTTGTTTTAGTGTTTTTGTCAGACATTGTTTTGTGTCGCAACCAAGAAGTTTCATTTCCATGCTGCATTTGTGAACTGTTGTGTAAAGTACAGTTTGTAGGCTGTTGGGAGTAGTGATTTTACTGAACGGATGACCAAACTGATACATTTCTTTTTTCTTCCATAAGCGAAGTTGTAAAAAGACACATTTTCCCACTTGTCAGATGGAGTTGCAGTGCGTAGTGCCACAGTACAGTACAATGTAGTCAGTCTAGAGCCATTTAAAAAAAATAATTGCCATGATTCAGCCGTTTCAATGCTGAATTTTTCTTATGGACGAGTAGTCAGCCTTGATAAGGCCATGAAGAAGTTTAATTTTGCTCTTGCCTACAAGAAAAAAAATTGCCATGCATAAAACCGTCAAACCGCTTCACGCGAAGCTTGAGATGGGCACGGTCCGGCCAAAAAAATCGCTACAAATGAAACTCGTTTTTGAAAACTTTTTGTAGAAGACGATTGGTGGCTGCCTAGCCTCCAAACCTACTGCAGGGTAGAAACTTACAGAGGTTTGTGTGCTCACTGTAGAGGATTGAATCCAGGGATGTGGGCCCGGCAAGCACTAGTCGAGCCGGGGCCCGGCTGTAGACAGTAGACGTTTCAAAGGTTTTAACAAGTGCTCTGTGCTGTACATAATTGTTGATAATATTTGCTATCTTGAGTTCTACTTTTTTTTTTCCGGGGGAAGGACGAGGAGATGGGAGAGATTGCTGAGTATATAATGAAATCAAAACATTAATCAGCAGTAGGATCAGTGAGAAGGAATTTTTTTTTTTTATTTAACATGGCCCTCCCGATTGAGGGGTCTTTTATTATGCCACGTATTTCTCCCAGACTGACACCAAGACGGTCAGTTATTTTTTTGTCTATAATCACAATTTGTGTACAAAATAAAGTGGGTGGTACTTGTAAATACGATGAATATTAATTAACCTAGATATATTACCATTGATGAATATTTTATTTAACTGATTTTTAAGAATTTGAGAAAAAAATAACTGATAATAATGTGTAACCCTCTATTTCGAGTTTTTGAATGTGGAAAGAGTATGACATACAAGAAACTTTTTTTTTTATTCTTGCGAAACAAGCATCGCACAAGTTTTAGACGTAGCTGCTTCAGAGCCTGCGTAGGAAGTTCTTTTTATATAGAAACATCCTTGTTTAGTTACCAGATGGCACCGCGCCGTACACAGTGGTTTTTCTTCCAGACAGTAATGGGTGAAAAAATTATCAAACGGCAGTGAAATATCACACTTCTGACAAGCACAGACAACCAAAAATCAGTCTCACTCTTCACCCTCACACCCCAACCCCAATCAAAAAAAATGGCCAGATTTTTCTTCCAAGGAAAGGTCACCAGCCAATCCAACTGGTAATCCAACCTTTCAAATGGCAAGTTGCTCCACGCAGTGGTCAGTTTTCCAGTATCCCATGTTTTCGTTGCTGGGCTCCCCGTTCACTGTACGGAGAGTCCCAATTTTGTTCAGACTCAGTTCAAGGCAAGTGAAGCCTTGTCCATTTTACTTGGTTGCGGCTTGAAACAACACGCAAACCCCCATTGGTAGAAGCGACAGCCACTGCCATCGGATCATGTTACTTCAAGCCACAGCCAAGCAGTTCAGCCTATAGTTCAGTGGAAATACCCGCACTGCCAGTGCATCTGACAGCAAGGGGTAGAACTAGAATTTTTCTCCAACATCACGATGTACTCCAACCCTCTCTCGAAACCCATCACAGACTGCCATCTTTGCCTGCTTTGTCCCAATACACCTGCTCCCCACACCCAGCCCAAAGCGCCCATTTATCCTGGGCATCTATTGGCCCTTCTGCCCACCACCCCACCCATTCATACAGAGCGGTACCCTAACATATCCCCCGTTGGACATTTTCTTGACATCCCGACCGATGTTCTTTCCTCTGGAATTTGACGATAATAATATTGGGTGACAAGAAGAAACCGATGAACCAATAAAGTGCCAAATTTTGTTTCCAGTATAAGTCTGTAAAGTAGGTGACAGATTTGCACGATTGTGCACAGACAGATTACAGAAACATAATTGACGGGTATCTGTGCCCCTTAGAAGTTGAAGGGGAATACTTCAGTGGGTGGGTGATGGGTTTATCCCGAAAAGTCTTGTTGGTGTGATACCTTGAGAGCTACTTGACATGATGGACTTCAAAGTTTGTGGCTTGCTCTTGGTGGTTCCTAAGAGGCTTTTGGGGCCGAAAGGTCAAGGTGGCTAAAGCACAAATCATGTCAACGTGTTACCTCGAGAACTACTTGACATTATGTTGGAATCAAGCCGTTCAGCCCTTGCATGGCAGTGCAGCATTTGTCGGTGCTGTCGTAACCACAGAAATGTTGTCCAGATCCCGGATTGCCCCCCCCCTCCAGGTTCCGGAGCACCTCTGTGTCTTGTTGCCTACGGAGGTAGTCCAAGTTGTGGGCTACATTTACTAGACTTTTGCCACCATTGCTTTCAACTCTTTACAGTTTTGTTCGAAATTTTGAAAATTTGGAGCGGAATTCAATTTTGTACTTCTGTTGCTTTTTGGAAAAAATGCTATTTATTAATAGATAAGATTTTGATAAAATATGAACAGTTAATAATATGTAGTTGAAATTTCATAGTTGACTCTTCACGGTGATTTTGTGACCAGTAGATGTCTAGCAACTTGGCACACTTCCCATTTGCGAATGGCGCTGATATACAAGATTAGTTCCTATCTGCACTTTTTAAATTCTTTTGTACATCTTGCTTCGATGTTGACCCTTTTTTAAACGACGTGATTCTTTATTTATTATGCCCTCAGTTTGTTGCCCCTTTGTTTTGTGTATCCGATTAATTTATTTGGTCGAGCTACCGCGAGTTCTGCGTTTGGATGGCATCACAGGCTGGCAACTTTGTGAGCAGAGAATAAGGGCGCTTGAAAGGTTAATAGACAGCGTGAGTTTCCCGACTGGACTCGGGTCTAACCTTGCTTAAGGTTATAATTGACATGAGGATTTCTTCGAAATTGAAAGAAAAAGGAAATTCAAAGTTAAAGATATTGCATTTGTCCAGCTGCAAGTGCACTGAATGAACTGGCGTGGCCGATTAACCAGAAATTGTGGGTAGGCCAAGAAGTGCGGTGGGACAGTGATAGCATTTTCAGGCGGGTAGTTTGCCGAACAGTCTTTGCTTCGTTCTACCAGACACAAGGCAAATGCCACCCGTAGTAACGAAGCTGCAGAGGCCTGAAACGGTTCTCCCCAAAGTCGAGTCCCTTCGCAGGTCCCTTCGCAAGTTCCCTCACAAGTCTGTTCACACGACCAGTCGTGAGTACTCAAATGAGCAATGTCAGAGGAAAGCTTTTTGTCACCGTTTTTGCCTGTTCATTTGAATAGCTCATGCCAGTTCATTTGAATAACTCAAAAACAGTTTATTTAGACTCGACAACTGGTGGTGGACTCGACTACAGCAGCCGACGCCCTTCTTTCCGTTGCGTGTTATGCATGACGTCCCATGGCTAGCAGCGTCCGGTTTTAAAAGAGCAATAATTTCGAGTGATGCGGAAACGAAGCCATATATATGTTGGCAGTTTGTAAGTGAGGGTAAATATTGAGGCAGAATATGTTCATTACGAGCCCTTTTCCCACTTCGTAGTTAGACAGTGATCGATCACCTTAAGTACCTGTACAGCGTATTATTAAGTGCAATTTATTAACTATGAAGATTTCTGTTTTTATAAAGGATTAATATTGTGATATTAAAAGAAGGCATCCACTGGTTTAAAGCGTCCTTGTGGTGTTGCCGCCCCATTCATTTCTCTGTCATCTCAATGCAATGCTGTAAATGATTCTGTATTTTGCATCACAAAAATAGTATGGTGCGCTTGACTAGTTTTCGACCGATCATTGCTTTGCACATGAATTAGTGAACCAGTAGTTTTCTCCTTTAAGCTTTGCGGCTTTATGACGTGAAATGTGTTTCTAATCTTGAAGCACTTTTTGAACAGGAATGAAATCGACTTAACACTCAAAATTTTTCGTTGTTGCAAGGCAAATTCGTCGTGCTAACACTACAACAAGTCATATAGCGTATACGGTTCTCACATATTGTCTCAGTCTTAGCTTACTGCATCCACATGGGCACTCCCTTCATTTTTAATAGATCACGTGGCTTTCCCATGGTCTACTCCGAGGTGTCTCAACCCTTGCCTGGATCCCACTGCTCTGTATAGAGGCCCCCCGAGTTGCCTTTTTTTTCGTTTTGACACAAATTTGCCATGTTTTAATATACATTTGTACATTCTTTACTTCCATCAAAACAAAATCCCTGGATGGTTCTTGAAAATTGGATTCCCCTAACTTTCCCCACAATTTCATTTCCGTAGAAATTTCCTCTGGAGGCTAAAATGTTTTAAAATCTGCATAAAATAAGATTTCCAAGTAATTTGGCAAAATATGGCACAGATTGACGTTCTCTAAACACGTACAGCGTGCGTGTCATAGCTTCACTGTGTAACAGGAAATGTTCAGGCTCTTAGGCCTGTGTGAAAAAATGCCTATTGTGAGGTCATCAGGAAAAGTATTTTTGATATTGTCCCATTTGAATTCTTTGACGGCTGTTTCAGAAGTAGGACGTCGCTTCAGTTCAACCATGCCAATTGCACACAGTGTTACACTGAACCGGTTAACCGCCATGGACCCAGAAGTTTACACGCAGCTTGAATGTTCATTCAATGGGAGCTTGTATTAGTGATATGTGCGTGCGCTTGTATGTCCGGATTGGGATGGTTTCCAATCAAAAGTATGAAAACTTACGTCAACCAGCGAATGGGTGTCCAGGTACCGCACCTCGTGTACCCGAGTTAGTGACAAAAATGTTGAAAGGCTGCTGAAATTTGAGCAATTTTTGTTGGAGCTTTGGACGCTAATGTGTGCATTTTTGCAGCGATCCAAATTAATTTGGCTCTGATTTTTTTGCCTGGTGTAGCTTATACACTATCGATCAATTTTGGTCATGCAGCTAGTGTCGAACGTCAAAAGACAGAGAAAATTAAATAAAAATGTCTCCCTATGAAACCATTTGTGTTGGAGACACTACTTACATGGGGGGGGGGGCTCCAGTTGACGAGTCTTCACATTCTTGCAGGTACACACAGCCCTACATGTGCATGCCGTTCAGTTAGCTTCGTCCTCATCCATGGCGATTGAAAGTTTTGACAAATCCCTGGATCGATGCTTTTACATGTATTTGCTTTTTATCTCAGATGTACATTAAACATGTTGTCATATAACAGTGACGTTTACATTCTAAACACATCAAAATATATTTAATTAATCGTAACCGAGAGATCATTTTGACGTCGTTAAAGCGCACCTCTAAGGAAAACGCGTTTTCTCTAATTTTATCTTTTCAAACAAATATGGAAGTATCCAAGTCGAACACAGTGTTATTTGTCTTCAGAACTCAACTAGTATTACAAGCTAAAAAGGGTTTTTTTCTTCACATGTCAAGATGCGAATTCTGAATTTAGATAGCGTCATTATGAGAAAACAGAGAAAAGGAGGGTAAGCCTTGCCCTCGGTTCATGGTGGATAAAACCCTCTGCATTCCAGGCAATGCATGTAGACATTGTTTGAACAGATAAAATCTGAGAAAACGCGTTTCCCTTAGAGGCGCTCTTTAACATCAACCACGTTCACGTCTATGCACATGCATGTACAGGTGCACCCAAATGTACATGTACATTGGTGGTAGTGTACACAATAAGGCCATTCATACAATGAACCGAAGCCATTGCACTGCGGTCCGCCTACAACGGACTTCAGATAGAACGAATGTTTCTACTGCATGTAGGTCCCGCAGACTCTTCGTGATGACGAGAGTCGACTGTATTAATCATTTTTTTTTCAGGGAATGCGCTGTACGTTTACGAATATGCTACACTATCGATTTCTTTAATACAGCAATCATCTTACTCGTCCAATACCTACATGGACATTTGAATCTCGCTCAAAAAGTCATGCAACATTAGGCCTATATCAAAATATTTTAACTTTCACAGAATCATCGGATTACTTTCTGATGTTCTATTTTTTTTCACAAGATATTGTTCATAAGCAAAGCTGGCTGTTAGGCCTATCTATTGTTTTAAAGAATTATTTAATTTTGTTTGCATTACTTCAGAAAAGAGTTTGAAATTGGTACTAGCTTAGTAAATAATGAAGTCGAATCCATCATTGATATGCAGATTTAAATGGTGCATGTAAAAAAAGAAATACCATTTAGACAAAAAGGCGGAATAATACTCGTGAAAGTAAAAGAAAAGCAAGTTAAGTGAAGTTTGTGACAAACTGCATTTTAACCAAGCAGTGAACTTGTGACTCTTAAAACCCAGTGCAAATGAACGCAATGATGCGGAGGCTGCATCCGAATTCTGGCTGCGGCTCCAGGGAACGCGCGACTCTGTTGGACACGCACGCAGCCGCTACCCGTTAGCTTCCATATTGGGCACGCGTATTAATTTTGCCACAACCAAGTAATTGGGACACAGCCTTAATCACACTAACATTGCCTTTGGCTGATGCTGCGTTGCTACTGGCCGTTCAATAACTAGTTCAGAAGCAGCCTGTTATTAATAGAACTACTACATATATCCTGAAACAGCAGTCAACACGATATGCACGTAACATGAAATTAATTCACTGATTCTGAATCGGAGCATCTCTACAACATTATACTCATAAATCTATGCAAACAAATTTTAGATTCTGTTTTGGAAATGTCATTGAAAAGTGCCATTTTTATCATTTAACATATTCTGTGCTTTCCTTAAATATTATGTGCATATCATTTGATATTGTGATGGCTGCGTGAGACTAGTGTTTCAACATTTGGTGAATTTTTATCGAGATGTAATATCAAAAGATACTGTTTATATGAAAGGTTTTATAATCAAAGGTTAGAATGAACAGTAGTGCGTGCAAAATTTTTGTGAAAAAAAATCAAACTGGGCTACTGTCATGCGCTAAAAATACCACAACAGAAAAGAAAATTTTAGACATCAAAATAGCTGACATTTTAAAGGTTATATACATAGTTGTAGAATGGTTTAAAACAATTAGACTGCAGGGCCTTGTAATTAGGTGCAGTCACGTTATAAACAATGTTGTATTCGGCAGGCTGCAAGAGCTCCGCTAGTGTAGTGTGAATTTCACCCCCTTTAGTGGGAGGAGCTGCTGCGAAAATGCAAATGTTATGTTACGTCATACTAATTAAAAATGTGGTAAATGCTGTTATTTGGTTGATAGGTGGCAGCTGACCCACTTAACTGACTATAGGCCTGCCACCGTACGGGTTCCAAAATTAATTGTAGAACTGCCAATGGGCCTTCTCCTTCGACGTCATAGTTGCATAGCTTTGTTTATTAGTTGACGGTAAACTACGACTGGCCTTTCAGTTTAAAAGCAACACAATAATTCACCAAATGTTGACACAATCTCACGTATGCACATATACTGGCAGTCAGGTCAACAGTGCATGTCTATGCGCCCCGAGGGACATTTTTGTTACACAGAGGTGTGTTATACTAAAACATGGCTTAAATCGGTCTCTAGTGCACGCCAATGTCCCCTTGGGCCTGTGAGTCAACAGAAGAGGATCCTGGCTCTATAGTTACCTTTGGCATCGGATAATATGACCTCATCGCGAGTCGTCTCGTTGCCTGTCTATGTACTGTATTGCTACATACCAAATGGTAATACGACCCTCCTTAGAAGAAATAGTTATACTTTGGTTATACATTAAAATGGTAGGCAAAATGACAGGGTTGTATAGAATGCTGGAGAGCTTATCGTATAATTCAAACTTCATCAGGCAGTATACCCTAGAAAGCTTTACCTAGCAGTGACATTCCTATGGCTTATCACCCCCACCCCGTCTTCAATTCTGAAAGCTTGATCTGCCCTGTGTTTAAGTTATTAGGTGTGAAGAGAATTTGAAGGGCGTTTTGTACACATCGATACCCTTTTTGTAGAGCACAAGGCATCCAGCCATTCGCCATTTGATTTGTACATGATCACGCAACTCTCACCTCTTTCGTTTGGCTCACCTTCAGCCCAGTTGTGGTACTCGCTCGGGCCCCTAACAACGCTGTTACACTTCAAGGAATACACAGCGCCCTTTAATTCTGACAGGCAGTTAATCCACGCTGCCAAGACACCCAGGCCCTCTCTTGTCATCACTGCCCGAAAGAACTCGTTCTCGTCTTGGGATCGAGGTGCCACCATATCTGCCCCTTGGTTGACGCAGTGAGCCAGCGCTTCCGTGTATGTGAGCTTGACCAAGTTGACAGCGTAGCACCGTTGTCCCCAGGGCTCCCAGCCGGGCGGACATCTTCCAATCGAGACATCGCACCCTTGACAAGTGACAACAAGTGTCGTGGCGACGACAACCACAAACCAGTCCAAAAAAGCCATCTTTGCTGAATTTCCTGTTCTTTTGAAGTACACTTGAAACTAACAAAATTTACAAGTGTATTCAGTCAAAAGGCATATGAGCAGAGCTTTAACAAGAGGAGATGGTTGTCAAAAAAGAGGACTGGACGAAAGGAGCACAGTACAAAAAATTGTTCTACGTAAATATTCGCAAGAATTCAAAAATAAGACTTCATGTCCCAACTCCAAAGCTAGAAACTTCTTGGCATGTAAAACTAGTCCATTGAAGTCCAAATCGTCGCTTGATCCAGTGACAACGAATACAACGATCACAGTCGTCACGCTTGGGTCGTGTCT